GCTGTCAATTTTTGATTTTTCGAAATATGTTAACTGCAAGCGTCTGTTGCTATTTATAAGTTACATTTTTACGTTAAGTATTAAGTTTCTACGTCAATTTAGCCCCGCCGTTACTGTTTTTGTTTAAAACGAGTTTGTGGCAATCGTTTTATGATGCCTTTACAGAATTATTCATTAAGTCTTAAGGTGGGTTCATAGCTCTCCGTTCATCCGTTGCGTTGATCCGTCAAACGGATAGTACGTTTTGTTAAGGTTCATAGCAATCCGTCCACATTGTACATTTGCAAGTATAACCATAACCTAAATTTTATTTTGTACTGTACCCTTCGTGATTTTCAGTATGTGAAAATGGTACGAAAGTAAGAACACATTGCTATCTGATTATTACCGTGAAGAACGAATAGGCGAACGCTGTTAACATACCAAACATAACCTCACTCTTGTTAAAAACGGACCAACGGAAACGTAAATGTTCAACTTCAACCAACTTTTCCGTCGTAAACGGACGACGTACGATTTAAAAATTTGCTGTCTTCTGATTGGCTAACGGACAAACGGAAACGTATGAACGGAGAGCTATGAACTTACCTTTAGGTGTCAAATTACCCCCGTTACTTTCGAATTCGAATTTTGGGCTGCAACAAAAGTATCGGCAAGTACTCTTGCACTTTGTGATCAAATCCTACTACGGTCTTTCGTCACTGTTTGAATACTAGCTACTCTTGAACCAATAGGTTTGTTAAGATGAAATGGTAAACGTCCGGACGGAGCGACTTCTCACAGCTTTTTCGAAGGGGTAATCTCTCGTCTGGAAAGTTTCATTTAACAGAGAATAGGAATTCAACGAGGAAATATTTATATTGGCTGCATTCTGAGCACCTTCAGAAGATTTTGGGGAGGTTTTCTTTCCCGGGATCTGGATTCTGGATTACTAGTCCTAATAGACAGACATTCTCATTAAACAACGCAAATTAAGTGTTTCAGCAATAGATTTTGTGACTTAATTTAAATATTTTTATATTTGAGCGAATAAGAGCTTCCTTTCAACGAAGATGGTCTGTGTGTAAATGAAAGAAGAAGGACCCATATATAACATTTTCTCTAAGTATTTTACCTTATTTTAAGAAACAAAACTGTGCCTTTGTTTTTAATAATGTCATTTATTGAAGACAATACAAATTATCTACTCCATCTCTAAACACTCAATTTGTTTATTACGACTTTTTGGCTTCTTTTCAGTACTATAAGTGGATAAAATATCCAACCCTTTTTTGAAACATCCTGTATATGGAGACATTGACATTATCTAACATTTTCATATAATTTTTTTTTTTAATTTTGCCTTTATTTTTAAGTATTTTATTTTTGAAGAGGCGGGGTTTTAGCCAAGGCTGCTCTATCAACCCAACCCATTTGGTTATTTACAAATATCCATGCCCGAACCCGGATTCGAACCAGAGACCCTTAGTACCGCAGTGGAGCTTCTACTCAACTGCGCCACACGGGCCGGCATACAATGCCATTACAGTGTGCACCTTTTAAAACCTTTGAGGTTTTGTGTGTTAAGAGATGCCGTTTCAGGACATGGTGGTGATCTGTTGCAAAATCACACTGTGCACATTTTAAATATTTTGAAGACTTGTGTGTTAAGAGACGTCGTTTCAGAATATGTTGATGATTATTTTAACCTAAAAATTAGCCTGTGTGTCTTCTTTGATTCACTGTTTTGGTATGTCACTTCATTTATAAAGGTAATTTGAATATTATTTGCTTCTAGAATAAATATTTCTATACCTTCCCGTGATTTAGTATTTGAATCATTGCCAAAAATAAACAAATTCGCAGGATTACAGCGAAACTTTTTTTTGTTATCCATTACTGCTGCATATGTTTGATGTTAAGCTATACAAAATTTAGAGGTTATGTTGACGTTCCATCCCGTTCGTTATTATTTGCTCCAGTGATCACCTGACCTTTTCCACCGTACGCTTTGCTATACTTCTGAAACGGAAAATCGAACCCAACTGAAATCGCGTATATCCTATACCTATCACTTTTTAATTTGAGGGTCGGTAAGACTGAAAGCATTTGATTTGACGATAGTTGTCATTTACTTTTATAATATTTTTTTTTCGATATTTTAACGTCTATGCTGTGATTCATCAGTCCAGCCGTTTTTGAGTTATGTTATGTATTGGATTAAGGGGGGGGGGGCGTTTTTAAGAATCCAGTGGTGGGGAGGTTCTGTTGTTTATTTGACGACCAGCAGACTAAATCTGTTCTTCACTTCGTTTGTCTGCAACCAGTCGCCACTACGAGCAGAACTTCACAACAGTAGTGTATTACATTAGATCAACTTCCCCACTTCCTGCAAACAACACGTTTATTTTCGATTATTTACACTTTAAGGTAATTAAGATTTCTTTAATTTATTGTTTCAATCGATCGCTTGTTGCGTGGTACTCAGGCCCTGTGTGCCTATTTTTATTTCACCCTAATTCATTGATATTGTCTAATAAATTTGTTTCATCGGTAAATGTATGTTTTGTTTAATCGAGCTCAAATTACGACCTACATAGAGTTCACATGCTAAACTGTGGAGTAGTATGTTTTCGTAAGTTTATAGGCGCGGTCGGTGTGAGTACTCCCAAACAATATCTAATTTTCGAAATAGTTTAGGAATCTCCTTTTGAAGAATTTTTAATAACTCTGAAACTTCTGAAATGCACCAGAAGAATTAACAAACAATCATTGAAAATGCTCGTTCTCTGTAGAATTTTTCAAGAATCAATAAGAAATTTTATACAGTGATATTCCTGTAAAAGTAGGCTTAGGGATTTGCTATGTCTACTTTTACATGATAAAAAGTTTCCTGAAAGACGCCTAATTTTATGCAACCAAAGTAACTACATACAACAAATGAGGATCTGCCTGTCATATTAATTAATTTGAATATTATCGCTTTGACTTCCCTATTCTAATTTCGGTACGTGTGCGATGTATTCAACTAAAGAAAAAGTTGATATTTCCAATTGGTACAGTGTCGATGACAGTTAAAGGAGCTTAAGCGATTTATTTTCTGTGAAGCTAAAGCAACAATACAATATTCAAATTAATAATTAATATGACAGCCAGATCTTTATTTGTTTCAAGAAGTTATTTTGGTTGCTTAAAATTAGGCGTCTTTCAGGAGACTTTTTATCATGTAAAAGTAGACAGGAAATTCCTATAGGAAATCCCTATGTCTACTTCTACATGAATATACTGTATAAAATTGAGTCTCTAAAGCTACTTTAAAATGTAAAGGAAAAAATCTGAAGAATTTCTTAGAGATCACGGAAGGACCTCTGGATAAGCTCTGAACAATCCCTGAAACAAAATATTTGAACGATAGCTAAAAACTCAAAAAAAATTTTGTGAAGAATGTTTGAAGCGAGTCTCTACAGAATCTTTAGTGGTTGAGACAGAAGATTTCAGAGAAAACATTTAACCATTATTTTAAAGATTTCTGGAGAATCTTTAAAAATAATACTGGAAAAGCATTTAAGCACTTGAATTGTTTGTAAATGCCCATGGATTCATGGAGAATTTGTGTTGTTTTTGTATCCATGGTAACTAATCTGTCTTATTAATCTATGTTTCTTACTGAGTTCATAATTAATTCTTTGTAAAATTCTGAACTAAGCATATGACAACTGTATTGATTGGTAAGGTTTATTACTCATTCAAAATTACTTGTGGTAGTCGTACGTATCACAATAAAATCTTTATAATTATGCTTGTGGTGTCTGATTTTGATGGATGTAGTAAGTACGCATAGTAATTTTAATATCATTTACATTCCTAACAAACCAATAAAACGTACTATTGAATTTTGGTACAATAAAGTCCTAGTGTATGACACATGCCTACAGTGGTTAGATATGAATCATCATAACTGTTTCAGTCAACGTGCTTTTGTCATTGTTGTGTTAATAACTAATTATTTAGGGTAATCTACCAATAATGCAGAATAATTTATTGCACGTCCAAAAACCCAAATCCTACAAGAAGCAGCAACATCTATTTTACATGAAACCCGGTTTCGACGAAAGTAGGTACTTACACCTTTTAGTCGATTTTGGCTAAGTTCTATTAATTCTAATATTATTTAATAAAAAGTCTATGGATCCGTGTGAATGATGACACCGTACTTTCCTTCTTAAATTCATACTTCATACGAGTATACAATAAGGATCAGGATCTTTTCAAATTTAGTCTATTGCAGAAATGAAAGTAGCGAAATAACAGGAAGCATGAGATAATCCTCTCTAAAAGGGTGGCTTGGTGTTTCCTAGGAAAATGAGAGTTTTAGGACTGACATGGTCTTTCCCAGAAAGAAGGTACACCGCAAATTTCTGCGAAAATTAAAGAATGGTAGGTACCTACCTACATAGGATTAGCATATTGTCGAAGAGTCATTTACACGACGATCTGGGGTTTCACTTGTGTGGGACACTTCCCGTTTCTACGAAAACTTGATTTAGTTACCAATCGTATTATCCGACGCTTGAGGAACTTAGGGACGAATACAATACATTGTAAAATGCAAACGCACGCTTTATAAGAAGTACAGCTCCTTTTTATTTCATTATAAAATCATTAAAATCAAAGTTTTAAAACACAAACTCTTCAAATTACAGTATCTACTCTTCTAGTACTGAAAGATCGACAAATTATACACTGTGTTGTCCATGTTTCGATGTTCACTAATGGTATCTCGTTAAAAGAAAAGAACATCGATTACCTTAATAATGTTTGCATAATTTTGAGGTGATTTCAAATATTACTTTAAATTTAATCTCACTTTTTTGCAATATTGCCATCTATTAAAAAACAAAAACTTACATCAAATTTTTTTAATTACTTATAATTTTTTAGTGCATTTCTGTACTTTTTGTACTTTCTTGGATAAATGACTTAAATTTGAATTGATGCATTTTTTGCTGCGAATTTTTTTATACAAAGAAATAGACGACTTTGTACATTGTGCGGAAAAGTGTTTAGGATCGAAAATGCTTTTAGAACATTAAATTAGGGTCACAATCAAAACAATGTGGGAAAAGTAAGTATACGGGATTTAACATGGCAACATTAACTTACCAAGGTCCAAAATTTTTAAAACGGAGAGTTTCCACCCTCTATATACTATGCTAATGCACACATTTTTGTGTAGCTATATATTTTGATCTTTGTTTTTGAAATTGTCATGCAATCGATGCATCAGGCGTATGGAAAATACCGTTAACCTTTGTTGTTTTCAAATCTCAATTTATGTTATGTTTATGGTTACATGGTCTTAACCAAGTTAAAATTATAAATTTTGGTAATTCGTTTAAATATGTGGAAGTTATCGAATTGTTTGATGCATGTACTGACTTGTTGTTTGTAGACTAACATTTTCGCTGTGAATGAACAATGAGGTGGTTACGGGGGTGGCAAATAACTGTAACCACATTAGTTACGACATCTAATGCTGGGGCTGACCTCGACTCTCAACTGTAGGCTTGAATTCCCTGGACGAGAGGCAAGTTACCTGTCCCGGGGGCGAGATCCTGCCACCAAAAGCTCTTAGATTTAGAATCTATGTGCGATTCATGAATTATCATATCGTTGTTAATGTTGAATTTGTCCTCCAAGGCCATGTAATTTTCCATCAGAAGGCTTCTATTGCACCCAAGATGAACCACCTGTTGTACAGCTACCTTCTTTTGATACCTGCTTGTACTCTAACCCGTTCTTTGTCTTGCAACTTGCTTTTAACCTGCAATTTAAGCATTTTAAGTTATTTAAGTTTTTGGAAATGAAAGAATAAAATAATGGTAAATGAACTGAAATCCAAACGTAACCTAAGATCCCGAGAACGAAATACCGCAGAGTCTTAGGGTTTTCAACATTAGGTTCGTATTATTGAGTTATTCATGCATCGATGAATAATTAAAATGCCTTCATCCTTCATAGTACGCCCACAAAATGTGTTAAGAGACGGAATGGTTTTCCATTAAAAGGTCTAACAACAAGTTATTCTTGTGTCACTTAGCCTGAAAGCTACTGATATATCTCGCACAGACGCAATTCTTTTTTCAGTTCTGCAACCAATTTATTACAATTGAACTATAACTGTGGATTCTTCTCCTTTACATGCAATGAAACTTTTTCGGCAAAACCTTCGATTGTATTTTTTTTCCTTTTTCGATTTCTTGAATATAATATTTCTGTCTGCCTCTATCACATGGAGAGAGCGCATGCGCACTCTCTGTACGTGTGAAAGAGAAGGACGCAGATGACGTACGATTTTCTTGAGAGGAAATAAAATTATAAAATGCTCCATTTTCGTTTTTTCTCGTTCGAGTTCTTTCGCTTTCCTCCTTTTGCGTTTTCACTGTGTTCCTGTAGGTATATAAACTGTACCTACTCTGTATATATGTGTGTAAATGCGTGTTGCTAAGTGTTCGAGGTTCGTTAATTTTGTTTGCTCCGACGAGCTAAAATAATTTTGAGTAAAAGACGCGAAAGTGAAACATTTATATTAGGTTTAATATCAAACTTTCCAAGAAATTCGTGGAATGGTTTCAGTTTGCCATATAAAGCAGTAATAATTAAACATCAAATGGACAGGGCATTGGAGCGAATTTTCTAGAGCGATATCAAGGCGCCGTTAAACGATTCATCACCGGTGATAAGGAATGAAAGCGGATTTCTTTCTGTGAAATATGATGAACCGAGCTTTTCGTTTTCTATATAATCAAATTGAATTATGTTCAGTTTTAGTCTTACCATCGATGCCAAAGTGATTAATAGAAAATCCGGGCTCGTGTGTTATACATTTACGTGTTATAAATGTTGAGTACCAATAAGTGATAAATGATAATTGATTATAATTGATGCATCCGTATATCAAACGTATCTGAAACATGACCTATAATTATTACCGATTTGTAACTCCGTGAGGATTCCTCTGTATAGCTTGCAGATTTGCAATGCCCTCTGTTGGTCTCTACCCTTGACTAGTCTAGTCTCGATGCCTCATTGGGTGCGCACAAATCAAGTGGCTCGCTGCGCATATGCCTCTATCACAGGTTAGGTACTTACCTAAGTTGTGCCTCGGTGCTCATGGTCTGCAGCACGGCATACGAGGCACAACCCACAGCTTCGGCTTGTCTCGTTCGCGCTCGTGCTCAGATGTGTACTCGCTTTTAAGAACACAAATTGTAATGAAGGATTAAACTCACTCATCAACACACCGCTCCTTTCTATTCATATCTATTCGTACGTAGTGAGTACCTACTAATTACTCAGATTTTTCAAACAAAAGATGATATCTAAACAGTTTTATAACACAGACACAATTCACACCAGAAATCGATTAGGTCAAACTTTGAAATAACAGTGTTTATATGAGATGTAAGTGAGTCGAATTCGTTTCTCATAAAAATTATGAATTATTTGCAGTAGAAATCTGGTCTGTCATCTTTGTTGTTCAAGCAAACCCAAACAATAATATATGATATTCCATTTTATTTATATCCTTTCAATACATTTTGAAAAATATATTTATAATGGAATGATTTTTAATGTATTTATGGCGTAACAGAGATCCCATTTCAGGACATGGTGGCGTTGTGTTGCAAAATCACACTGTGCACATTTTAAATATTTGGAAGTTTTGTGAGTTAACATATGCCCACTTAACTTTTGCTTTGTAGTTCGTTGTATAATCACACTGTACACATTTTAAATCATTTGAAAATTTGTGGTAGAATAATATGTTGAAGATTTTTTGCAAAATTACAATTCACTTGAAATATTTTGAAGTATTGCATGTTTTTAAGCGGCAAGTGTTTATTGATCATTATTACACACTAAGCGATTTATAGTTAATCGAAATCGCGAATAACCTATACCTGTCACTTTTTAATTTTATAGTTTTTAATTTGACGGGTGGGTAAGATTGAAAACATTGGATTTGACGATTGTTATTTTTAGTTTTGTAATAATTTTTTGTTTATATTGTTTTCGTGCTTTTTTTTTTAATAGTTATTCTGCGATTCGGGTCGGAGACGAATCCAATCAAACATCATGCAAATCGGTCCAGCCGTTTTTGAGTTATAAGTGATGTAACATACACGACTTTGTTTTATATATATAGATTAGGTAATTGTATTTAGGTCATGAAAAAATTTTATTTCCTTTTGATACACCTTTACACTTGTTTTCAATTTCAACAATGGAAATCGTTTTTGGTTTTTTAATCTGAAGGTTATTCGAATACGGCTCGTATAATGTCCATAATATTTTGAATGACACTGCCAATAAATAAGATAGGAATTTCAAACATTACAGAAATTGCGCAGAAGACCGAAATAGAACATAAACACTAGTTTAGGTATCGAAGCGATTAACCTTTTAAAGTATAAATAATTAATTTGAAAAAATGGTAATCTGGTTTGAATTTATACGACACGTGTTAAGTTTGCTCACTGTATCGACAATTCCAAATCATTTCTGTATAAACGCGCAACTTTCTATGCATCGCATGTGAAAGTAAAAATAAATCCAACACATAAAAGGAAACCCTCTTTTTTAATGCTCAGAATGTCTTTAAAATTAAATAACATGGTGTAATCGTTGCTTGGAGAAAGTTGTAAGAAACCAAATCCCGGTGATCGTTAGCGAGTGCAAGGAACTTGAAAAGTCTTTTCATGGACTATCTTCTTATTAATTACGTTTATCTAGATCATTGCCAACAATGACAAACTAATCTGTTAGAACAAGCGACACCGCAAATTGGTGAAATTGAAGACATTGTTTATAAACGACATAACAATGTGATGCGTTTCTTATCAACAGGTAAATTGTACTGGCCCGTTAACTTTCACTGAATGCTTTGGTAGGAAACTAATCTCACGCATGTTACTCAACTAATTAAGAGATTTAACGCCGAACCGGTTCCTGGTATTGATTGAAGGGATAGGCCGAGACGATGCACAATTTTTTGATTTATAAATACCTACTCGTAACAGATATGGTGCTCAAAATCTCGATTAGTGTCGCTGTATATTTTTCTTGTATTTGGATCACTTTAACAAAAAAGCTTGAACAGTTTTTGACTTTTGACCCTTTTTTATCGATTGTAAAAATATAAATCGATGGCCACAAACTAAACTGAAATGATGCTTGGGTGATGAGCAACATTTCAATACAAACGCTAAATTTGTTGTGGTCTGCAAAATTTTGAATGTTGTTGAGGTACACACACTTTTATGGTTACAGACGTCTCAACCCCCTCACCTTCATTCAAAAGGAAATTCCATTACGGCCACAAACAGCAATAAACAAAAATTAACCGTAAATTTAAGGGCATAGGCTCGGGGATAGATAGGTAATAATCCACGCAAAACGTAAGAGCAATAATTAGTTAACAAAGTTGCTCATCTTGGGACCGAATCTAACGCTGAAACCTGAAGAGATTGTAGAAACAATAACAAAAAACCCAAAAACTACAAAGCATCGCAAAAACTCAATGCAAAAAATCGGGAGGTTTTGCAGGATTGAATTGCACACATTTTTGCAAAATGAAGAATTTCAATTTTCTGAAACATCCTATAAACTCAAATACAATTGAAGAAGTCAAAGATCGGAATTCCAAGAATCCGAAAGAATTCGAAGAAAATTTAAAATTCCATGAATCTAAAGAATCTTGAAGAACATGTAGATTTGAAGAAAGTAAGGAATTTGATGATTCCCGAGGCATTAAAGTATGCGAAGAATATTTAAAAATAAACTGTAAAATATAAGAATCCGATATATTTGAAGAGTTTGTAAAAACAAAAAAAAAGGCACCATTTTAGGCGTTGGAAGAACCCAAGGCAAAAAATATGAGGGTTTTTAAAGATTTCCTTTCACAGTATTTGAAATGTTTGAATATTTTAAAAGTGAAGTACAATAAATATTGAAGAATTCAAAAGTCGAAGAACTCGAAGAAAATATATGGAAAATTGGAAGGATTTGAAGAAATGGAATAAGGAACATCGCACCCTTCTGCAAAATTGGAATAATTTAAAGAAAATGAAGCATCCAAGTAGTTTTAAAGATCTGAAGAACCTCGTCGATATAAACGAATTAATGAATGTGAAAAAGTGCAATAATTCGAACAACGGGAGAATCTTTCAAAGAGTTTAAACGCCCCCAACCTCCGGTTAAAAAATCGTTTTAATAATCCCTAAGGTATTCTATAGATTTTAAAAATATTTACCAGAAAGGTAACGATTCTTTATCGGACGCAATTTGCGAGAGCATTCTGGACATTTTGAGATAAGGCTAGTTAATTTTTCGTCGTCCATGTTGGCTTCCCTTGAACATAAAGCCGTCGACTGAAGAATGCGCGCCGTTGCGGCCCCATTTTAAACGGAGAGGAACGGTAAGCCAACTTTTACCAAACTATTTCTGCCTAACACCATATCCGATCTCAAACCACATTCAACCTTTCAACCCCAAACACGTTTCCCCCCACCTTATATAAGATTGGTTTTCAATTTCTTACGCATATCTCCCTTCCCTTTTCTTGCCACCGCAACCTTAGTTTGGGCTTCGTCCATACAAAAAATGTGAGTTATACTATACCAGTATACAGTCTTGCTACAGTCAATTTCTGGCAATACATCTAACCTATATCGTTTTTTGGAAATAAGTGTACTGAAGATTATCATAGGAACCAAGAATTAACAAACTAGCGTCTAATTTTAACGATAATAAGTAGGTATG